ATAGCACCTACTATGTGCCAGGAACTTTCCTAGAGCTGGAGATGGAGCAGTGATTGAAACAGTAATAATCCCCTGCCCTCGAGGAGCTTACTCTGTAGTGGAAAAAGACACAAGATGAACTCAAGAACTGAGGGTGATAAGTATTTATGAAAAAATACAAAACAGGGAAAGAAGACAGGACTGCTAGAGCAGGGATGAAGGGGATTATTAAGAGGCGGAAAGTCTAACTAGCCAAAGAAGTCTTCAATAAAAAGTTAATTTTTGAACAAAAATTCAAAGCACCGAGTGATGGTAGAATGTAGGAGGGGATGCATTTCAGGCAGAGCGAGCAAGATGGGCAAAGGCCCTGAGGCAGCCCTGTGACTGGAACGGCTTGGAAACTACTGTGAGTGGAACGGGGTGGGGTGAGCTGACATATACGGATAAAGGAGAAAGGAAGCTAGACTGCACGGGGCCTTATGGGGGTAAGAACGTTGGCTTTTACTCTGAGTGAGATGAGGAGCCACCCGAGGGTCTGAGGAGAGCAATGTCATGGTCAGGCTGAGTTTTGAAGGGATCTTCTAGGCTCCTACATTGGAAGATGGTGGTTAAAAAAAAAAAAAAAATCCAGACCAGAGATAGGTAACGATCAGAGTGATGAGAAAGAGGGAGCTGATGACATGAGCAGGAGTAGACTTGCTTGCCTTCATTCAGCAAATATTTATGGAGCGCACTGCTACATGTCAGTTAGGATGATAAGGTGAGTTAGGCACAGATGCTGCCCTCGCAGGGAATGTATATGAGGAGGTGAAACATGAGTAGAAATTGCTATAATACACGGTAGAAAACAATGAACGAAAGATACGTTTCCATCTTGGTTGACAAAGGGGGAGAATTTCAAGTCACTTTGAAGCAGCTGGCATTTCAGCTGGCTGCATAAACATAAGCTCCCTGACGGCGAATGTTCCGCCACTCCTGTTGCTGGATTCTGAGCACCTAAAACAGTGCTGGGCACAGGTAGTGACCAGTAGATACTTGCTACCTAAAGACCGAAGGAATACGTGTGTGCGGATTTGTACACAGACCTTGTGGGAGAAAGGCACTCGAGCGAAGGGAACGGCGTACGCGGAATCACAGCTGTGGAGAGTTACAGTTTAATTTGGCGGAAGCAAATGAGAACAGTAGGAGATAAAGGTAAAACCATAGACTGGGGGTGGACCTTGCTAGTCCTGTGGAGGTAACACGATTTCTTTCTTCCTGTAAAGCCGAGGGACTCCAAAAGCTTTCAGCAGTGATTAAGAGGAGAACTCGTACCAGAAAGGTGAGTGTCACAGCATTTAGGATAGTTGGTTGAGGCAACCAACCACGTGGTGGATAGAGTCTAGCGACCAGTTTGGATGCTACTGTAAAAATCTAGACGAAAGGCGATGAGGGCCTCGATCGGGTGCTTGTCTCTTGGTCCCTTCATTATTAATATTTCCACTGTACCGAATTATTTGTAGATGTGTATATATTTGTACTGTAATATTTTATTTATCTATCTCCTTTTTCTGCACTAGCGGTATTTAGCACAGGTGGAGGACATGTCTAATTGTCCCCCAATTTCCCTTCATCCGTTTATTATGGTAATGAAACGCCTCAGCTTTTAGCGGTGACAGACCTCACAGTCAGAGACTGCATTTTCCGGCCTCTTCTGCACCTGGATGTGGCCATAAGACTAAGTTTTGGCAATGGAAGTGAGCGGAAGTGATGAGTGCACCCTCTGGGGCATCCCTGCTAAGCAGGCTGCTTGCTCTCTATTTCTACCTGCCTTTTCGTGCCGCTCCTTACCCACTTTTCTCTCTTCCTGCATGGAGTGGGTGTTGGAGATTATCCTCTTTTAGAACTACTTAACTTTCTTAGGCCTTTTCCCAACAGAGCAGGTAGGGGGGCCTGGAGTTGCCGCAAGGATCAACTTTCATAGGCTTTTGCAAAAAAAGAACATGGGGAGGCAGGGCCCCACCTCCATGATCGTGCACAAATTTGGATTTTTATATGTGAGAGAAGCAACTTCCATTTTAGTTAAGCCATTGTTATTTGGTCTCTGTTAAAGCACCCAAATTGGTATTTTAATATATAGTTTATAAATATTGACCACTACTGCTGTGTGTTAAATGAGTATATGATTGCGAGTATAAAAGTACACTTACATCTATATAAGTAAACTAGTAACGAATAATTATTTCTCTCATTCTGCTGAGCTGTAAGCATGAAACATCTATCGTCTACTGAAAAGGAAAACAGCAACATAAAGCTTAAACTGAGGTCAACGTCTATGTGGAGCTTGGGTCCACATCCTCACTTGCTTTGTCAAAGGGTGATTAGCACAGCAAGCCTCTCCCGTCTGCTGAGATAAAGATGGTACAAGACAGGGTTACTGGATCATACCACATATGAGGCCTTTAAAGGGAAATCTTCAAATTCTATACCTCATCATAATGTTGAGGCAAACATTTTAACAATATCAATTTGAATATTATTCTCGGACTGCAAGACTTGTGTCATTGCTTGTTTTCATATAGAATGCAACAACAATTTCAAGGGAGTGAAGGAACTACTTACTATTGAAGAACATTTGACGCTGGGATTTAAAGCTCTAGCCATTTATGTTTATTACTGTTTTGTAAATAATTTTGCAGTCTTGTATATCAATTATGAATTTAAATAAAGACTATACAGGTCATCTGATCAAATCTGATCAAGATTGTGTGCTTATATTATTACTAAAGCACTCTTGAAGAAACCACAGGAGTCTCCATATAACTCTTTAAGGTATAGTTCTATGTGTCTTTTGTGGAAGAGACTGGAATGGTGACTTCCTTAATTGGCAAGTGTTTGAAAGAGGAAACCGAAGGCAAGCCCTAACACCAGGGAATTGTTTGGGGGCTTGGCTTTTGGAACAAGGCGTTGAAATTAAGAAAAGCTGGAGACTGGCATATCGTTTTCCGAATAAAAATAAACTTCAAAAAAGGGGGATATTTTGACTTTATGTCAAAAGATCTATACTGTTGAAGACAGAAACGGTGAAACGTAAATACTGAATATGAAAAGAAAAAAGGTTTTATTTCCTATACCGCTGAAGTCAGTTTGTGTAAACAGTACTGTCTTTCTTTTATCAAGACTAGTGTTGGTGATGGTGGCTTCCTTAGAGTCGGACAGGGATTTTGTTTTGCTGATCCCAAATCCCTGGAACCGTGCTTAACAAATTCTTAGCTTTAAAAAAGTCGTCGACTGAATGAATGAATGGATGATGTTTGTATCTAAGAATTATGATTTCCACTAAATGAAATAAAAAATTATCCATCGTGTTTTGAAGACTCCAATAGAAAAATAGATATTATATTGAGATTTTTCTCTAAAAAATATGAAAATAAGATAATTTATCTCAAGTTGTTTATAAAGAAGCCTGCTTCATAGCCAGTGTCTTTTTTTGTCTATTAAGTATATTTATTACATTTGGCAATACTGATATATGTGGTTTTCCAGAACTATGACTTTAGCATAAGGCTATGTTTTAAAAAATGACTATGAATATAGTTTAGAAAAAGAAAGAATCTGAACAATATTTTTTTACATCTGTGAAAAAATACAGCATTGAAAGTCACTAACATTATAATCATAAATATGTGGAAGAAAAGAACAATTAGCTCAAACAGTTATGTAATTCTGTACTGCTGATAAACGGTCATCTTGGCTTCCACGACAACCTATTCGCATGAAATACATGCAAAAGACTAAAGCTACAACCAGCAGTTTTCGTTTATTTCTAATAATTTTACCTATTGTAAATCAACTGACACACAGTCCAATAACCAGAATATTATTTTGTCGAGCAACGTGGAAACCTGGACTAGGGGTCTAGAGGCAATCTGTTTCATTCACATATTCTAAGGATGTGGTTTTAGGAATAGGTATTAGGTTTGCAACATTTATGTAAAACAAATAATGTGATACTGAAAAGCAATACTATTCATTTAACATAATGAGTCGCTATGCAGTAAGTCAGATCTTCCTGGAGTGTAAATTATACAAATTTAAAAGCTGCATTTATTATTTAATATCTCATTCCCAGACAGGTGCTTACTCAGTAGTAAAACCTGGTTTAGCATAGCAAATTGAAAGCTGTTCAAAAACAGATAGGAAAGTTTTTTTTTTTACTCTATCATCCATGTAGCTAAACCATCTGTGTGCATTTTAAACTGTTTTTTTCCTCAATAGTATTGAGACTATTTTAACTATGAATAAAAAAAATGAATTATGAATTTTAATAACCGCCAATGCTTGAAGAACCGAAGCTTGGATTTTAAAAAATTTACCTAAAAGAAGGTCTTAACTATGAATAAAATAAATGAAATATGAATTGTATTAATAGCCAGAGATGCTTGAACCGAAGCTTGGATTTTAAAAAATTTACCATTTAAAAGGTCTGTTTGGAAATAATCTTCACATTAAGTTGCCCTTCAGTATTCTAACAGGCTGGTACCATTTTGTAAGAAAAGAATGTTGTTAGAGTAAATGCTAGGATATTCTGATATTTCCTAGGTTAAATTGATGAGATTTCATATTATAGATTATTTAATGAGTTTATGCTCCCAACTGTACAATAAGCGCATGTCAAATTTTGCAAGAGATTTTAAGATTTCTAAGAACTCACCTTCTATAAGGCCCTTTGCTGATGGGGCTAGTTTAGGAATGAATGAGGAAAGGGGGTCTTTTTTGCTTCATAAATAGCTTGAGAGTAATTCGGGGTGGCCTAGAAACCAGGAATTATTAGGAAAGTGCTTATAAATGGGCATCATGTATCACCCTCTCAAGATCCTTTCTAAGAACCTAGCCTGGACCTCCGCACACTGGTGGGTGCCGTCGGCCACTGGCCAACTAATTGCCTTTTTTGGCAAAGCCCACCCAAGGGCCGGCCAACCCCTGCCACCTGGTGTCCCCTGATTCGGAGCGAGTGCATTCGATGCGGGAAGATCACTTACGACTGAGTTTTTCATCATGGCTTTGACTGTGAAGCCCTCGGAAACCAGGGCGTGAGGCTGGTGCCCCGGGAGCGGCTGTTGTGCCAGCAGCTTGGTCCTCTTCGGCAGCTTGTCTGGGCATTTGTTTAAGCTCAGGGTCTCTTTTTCTGCCACCATCTTCCTAGAAAATGTCTTGTTCTCATAAAACGTGTAGTAAAAGACTCAGTGGGTTTTACGGATGTGAGGAGGAGGTCGGGGGAAAAAATGTAAAAAGGCGCGTTAGTGGTAGAAATTCAGCCCCTCGAAGCGCCCAGGCTGATCCAGATGTTTGGAAGCTCCTGGGTGAAGGGACTTGAGGGGCGGGGAGGGGCGGGAAGAGGGCCGGACCTTGGCTGGAGCTGCAACAAGCTTCCAAAGGTGAGCCCCGGTTGCTAGGCGACGCGTCAACACTGCGGCCGAGCGGCCCCACCCCGCCCCCCCCCCGGTGACGCACTTCTCCTGGGCCTTACCGGAAGAG